TCCCGTCAGTCGTATCAAAACCTCCAGAAGCCTCCAACGTACACCCGCCACCACCGGGATTCTCGCCGGAACCACCAGGGTACCAGGCAGCTAAAGGTAACGATTTTGGGTACTGGTTCGTTAGCGGGGGGAGGGCACAAGCTTTTTAGTAAAAGTCTAGAAACGCCTAGAAATTAAAGGAAGTCTTTTTGGCGTGTATTTCGTAAAATAAAACTATATTTCAAGCAGAAATACCTGCGAAAAGTTAAAAGAATCGGCTATTTATGGTCGATAATAATTTCTGATTAAAATTTATTAAGTTTTTACGTTTAAGGATAGTAAAAAACGTTTGCGATATTTGAAAAACTGGATCTTAAGAAAAAGCTGCCCTCCCCCGATAATGCCAAAGAACCAAAAAGTTTGTAAAATCATTCAGATTTCCGAAAAAAATTTAACTTATCTGGTGAAAATTCTATAAAAATAATCCGAAGAACTTCAATTTTGTGCGTTTTCGACTTTTCTACAAGTTCAATTTTGGTGTTTTTGTGCTATAGTTCTTTCTTGTTACTAATCAAGGTATCCCCCCCCGCTAACGCATTAGAACCCTGTTCGCTAGCTAAAGTATCAGCTGATGCATTAGGTTGTTGTTATTTTATTTTCTACATCACTTCAGAGCCACCACCATCAGCCAGTATCCCACCACAACCCATCCCCGAGGCACCGGAACCGGAAGAATACGTCGACCTAACCGAGCCCGAGCCCCCACAACAACCCGAGAAGCCGAAGACGGTCCCGTACGCCATCCCACGCCCTCAACCAGTTCAACCGGGACCCCATCCCACCCTAAAACCTGATGTCCAGCCCGCAAAAACAGCCACCGCTTACCCGGTGCTCGTGCCGCAGGTCAGAATTCCCGGGATAGTTCATAAATTGCTTAGGTTGATGGCGGAAATGAAGAACCGGATGAAGCGCAACCGCAAGTGCCATCCGAAAGCGAGGTCAGGAAACGGCTCTTTTGCATTATCGGGGGTCTTTTTTCAAATATAATAAATGTTGGTGTTTTTAAACGGTTTTTTACTGTTCCTAGACGTAAAATCATTACAAATTTTTATTACAAAATACCAAAAAAAAATCGATTTTTCGACCAAAAATCGCCGGTTTTTACAAAAGATACGAATTTTTGAAAGATTTTACAAATTTTTTAGATAGTTTTTCTAGTTGAAATACAGTTTATTTTACTAAAAACACTTAAAATACTTCCTATTAAGCTACTAGACATTCCTAAACGTTTCGGTCCCAGCAATTAGCAGAAAATCTCAGCTAGAAAACGGCTACACAGAAAATTCGGAAGAAAATGCTGGCCCAGTGGTATCTCCACCCGTTTCGCCGGTTAGTCTGCCGCCGGAACCGGAAAAGGTATAAACATCTGAACGTTTTAAATAGCGTTTTAATATCAGGTACCAGAACCCGGCTACAAAGAGATTGACAGCCTTGGAAGCGAAAAGGGCGCCTTCCCAAGGACCCTGGAAGAAGACCATGCCCCTGGTAAGGAAGGAAGGTACTTTCGCAATAACCGGGGGGGGGGGCTCTTTTCTTCGATCGAATTTCTCTAATAAACTAGGTCAAGCGTTTTTAAACTTATTTTTACTATTTCTAAAAGTAAAAACCTCAAAATTTTATTTGAAAATATCAAAAATATCGATTTTTTTTTTTGAGAAAAATGGACAATTTTCGATAAGAAGTTCTTAAAAAAACTTTTGTAAATTTTTTGGATATTTTTTCCGATTGAAATATATCTAAACTTTTCTAAAACTCTAATAAAAAACTTACTATTACATGACTTGACAATTCTGAATTCTGAATTCAAAGAACCGAAAGAATGAAGGAGACTTTTTATATCTTTTTAGACTAATTGATCCTTTCTAAAATTTTTTAGTAAAACCCGCCACAAGACCCCTCGTCCCATTACCGCGCTTGCAACCGAAACGCCCGCCAATCCGCGTCCCTCCGAGCAGCTATCAAAGCCGACCGTAATAGATACAAAATTGCGGTTTAAACGCGAGTTTTAGGCGACAACGCCAAGTGTTCCCGCAACCACAAGTCCAGGTAAACGACAAAAAATTTACGGCTACTTTCCAGCCCTTCAACACTGGACCACCGTTTGCCTACAACCGCCCGCCGCTGGTAGGAAATCACCAGAAATACGTATTACTTTATTTTTAGGCCCCGAGCCCGCTACCCAGTTTCCAGTCTTATTCTCAGGTCTGATTTGAAATTAGCATTAACTAGCCCATAAACTGAACTGTTAGCTGGGGGAAACTAATCTTTCCTACTAATTCCGTACGACCCTAGCTAACCGTAACCATTTTCATAGCATTTAAAGAGTTTTTAGATAAAAAAGCTGGTAATGAATAAAAATATTCACAATTTTTGACTTCTTGGTCAAAAATGTATTAAAAATGACCAAAAAAAGTAAAATTTTCAAATTCTCAGCTTTCTCAAACATTTTTTTCCTTCTGGCAAACAAAAACCACCTAAACACATGAAAAATATGTTAGATATTATCAACAGGTAGGCGAAAAGATTAAAAATATTTTTCCCCCTGACAAAAATCCCCCCTTCCCAACAACCCAGTACCCAAATAACTTTACAATGTAAAATTCAATTAGCCAGCGATGCCGATGGCATCGGGCGGATGCTGCGGCGGGCGCTGGTTTGGCTCGTCCGGCCAAATATGCCATCCGGTCAACTTCAATCCGTGTCGCCCGCAGGCTGCTCAGCAATGTGGTAAGTCTTTTCCGCCCGAAAAGCCAGTTTATCGTCTTGGAAGCGTAGCGTTTTTCTTCATTGTCCTTTTTGCTTAGAAAACACATGTATTTCAAAAATCTAATCACTCGGCAACAATTTTCATGCAACTGCTGCTGCTCGTCGAACAATAATGGGTGCTGCAACAACGGATGCGGCGGCAATTCATGCGGTTCCTCGTGCCGTGGAGGTTGCGGCCAGTCGTGTGGCGGCTGCGGCGGGTCGTGCCGAGGCTGTGGCCAACCTTGTGGCGGTTGCAGTCGCCCGTGTGGTGGATGTTCATCTACAAGCAGCGCCGGCTGCTCTAGTAAGCTATTCACAACCGTACTTGTTTGTTACAGCCAATATTACAGGCGGTTGTGGGGGTGGATGCAGCGGTGGTGGCAGCCTCAGCCAAGCGCTCGGATTGTCTTCGTGTTGCACCCCGGTGAGCTGTCAGCCAGCATGTCAGCCGGCTTGCTGTCAACCTCCTTGCTGCCAACCTACGTGCTGCCAACCATCGGTTTGTACATCGACGTCATAATTCGAGCCATTTTCAGTGCTGTACCCCATCTCCGCCGGCGATGCCATGCTGCTGCCCCTGTCTAAGTTCATGTTTCGGCCGGAGAAAAACGGTTTTTAGTTTCCGGAGTAAAAATACGCTCATTCAGGTCGATACGCCGGCTTCTGGGGCGCTGCTAAACACGGCGGATCGAGATGTGGGAAGCTGTTGCAATAACTTTTGCTCAATATTTATTATACCTCTACTGTTTGCTCAATAAATAAGATAGTGTAGCCAAGAAGAAGGCGGGACATAGCAGCAAGGGAGAGGCGAGAGAGAGAGAGAGAGGGAGAGCTACGATGCACTCCACTTTCCGCGACAACTGGTGTTTTTTATACCGCGCGCTACCGTAACGCACGCAAGCCGCGGCTTTTCTTACACACCCCGATTTTTCAAACGTTTCCCACTACCGGTTCGCAGGATATTTACCATATGTATTTTTTTTTTTCTGCCCTAAAAACGTATCACTTCCAAAATGTATGCGGAACATTTCCTTTAACTTTTCTTTCCTTTTTCTCCAGAATTCGTTTCTACTCGACTTTAGATCATTGCACAAGTATCAGAGAGATTACGATTTTACTTTTCTTATTTCTTCTTTTCCGCTTTTTGTTCACCTCCAATTTGTGCTTTAGGGTCGGGATGGCGCCCCTTGGACACATGGAAGACAGTGGAACAAAAGGGCGCTACGATCCCATCTCGATGGAAATTACGCGCAACGATGCCCGGGGCTCGCCACCTCCCATCCCCTGAATCACTCCGCGGCTCGAAGACCCTACACGATGGCGACGTCGCTCCGATTTACGGGCTGAGCGCACCCGCTTAAGTGATTTTTGGACGGCTTTGAATCATTTTCTTTAGGTCGCTTGCTGAACGCTACGAGATGCGATGGAAGGTCTCCAAAGCTGTTATGACAAGTCCTGTGGCCACCTACCAACTTTCCTCGTCGTCCTATTCTTCTGCACTCATCGGCGCCCTCATAGTCTTCGCGGTGTTGTTGTTCGTTCTCCGTCGCAACCCGGGCAGCAGCAACCCCTGACGATGCGCGGGGCCAGCGGTTCTGGTGAGAGTGGTTTTTAGCTACTAGATGGATTTTTAGGCGTCTTTGGATGCAAGAGCTGGCGCTATCGTCCGGCAAGATGGATGACGATGGGAATCCACCAGCTCGAATTCAGCATCGTCAAGAACCCGAGCGTCCCTCTTGCCTTGGCTACGGGGTTCAGCTGCACGACCAATCCCACCGAAGTAATCGCATCCATCCGGCGCTGCGGACGGTGTTCCGGACTGCGGGGACAGTTCCGATGAGGTCGCCTGCAAAGTGTGCTCTTTGTTTTTATCTTTACTTTGGTTCAGAGTGCAATACTCGTTACGGCTGCCCCAACGCCATGCTCCGCAACATCCGAGGAATGATCTGCCTGACTCCGGAACAAATCTGTGACGGAATTGCACACTTGCCCGGATCGGTGGGATGAAGAGGATTTTGTCGTAAGAAACGTGTTGCTTTTGTTTATTTTTTTGCCTAGGTGACGCATGCAAGAGAGGGAATTCCGTGTGCGTTGAAGAACTCAACCCTGAGCATGTGCCTCCTCAAGATGCTGTGTGCGATGGTGTACGGGACTGCCCCGACGGCGAAGACGAACAAGGCTGCAAGGATCTCGATGAATGCCGCGGTTCTGCCATGGTATACTTATCATCCTTGAATTTCACCGGCTTTTTTCAGATGTGCAAAGCGGAGGGAAAGTGCCTCCCCGCCCGCAAGATCTGCGATGGCGTCAATGATTGCACCGATGGTTCTGACGAGCAGGTATTTCCGCTTTGAAAAAGCCTTATTCTTCTTTCTAGAATTGCACCTGTTACAAATGCTCCGGCACTGGCAAGAACCTCTGCAACGACGGCACTTGCATCACGATGGATAAGCTTTGCGATGGGACGGCCGACTGCGGCGAGGGCTACGACGAGCACGGATGCCCATCATGAGAGGAGGAATTTACTGTGAATTCGCACTCTAACGTGCTTTTGCTTTGTACTTTCGCAATTTGTGCATGATTTTGTAATAAAGGGTTTTCACTTACAAACCGAAGGCGAAATAACAGTTTTGCGCGAAATGCACGGAAAGGCTTTGCATCTGTGCTTGGAATACACTTTCGGCGCAGGCCTCTGCGAAGCGCCAGCTTTACGGAAAGCCAGTCCACCATATCGATCATGCTCCAACTGGCCGTCTTGTTCTTATCGCTCTCGTGCCAAGCACTGGGCCAGAACGCCACCGAGATCCTCGATGCGGCGAACAGCACCGAGGTGTCGAATGCAACGATGATCGTCGACTTGTCGAATGGTGCGTGCCAGTCAGTTCAGGCAATCCAGCCATTTAGGAACCTACTTTGACGATGCCATGGCTGCAGAACCGGCGTACTATTTCTCTCCTTTTCTATAGCCATCTTTTATAGCGGCGTCATATACAAGGTCGGCAACGAATACACGATGGACCAGCAATTTGTTGATGAGAAGGTGGCGTATTTCTGGGAGCCTAAGGCCTCTTTCCAGCTCGAGAAACTGGCGCGTGATAATGGCGTGCTGATCGTGTACTCCTTCTTCGGCTTCTTGATCGGTTTTGGATCCGGGTTCGTAATTCCTGCAGCGGTGAAGCCCGACGATGAATTCAGGGGCTTCGTTTTGTTTATCCTGAGCATGTCCATGCGCCGGTGCATCTACTACCACTGGTACCGAGCTGTGTAAGTTGTTTTGACATGTTAAACCGCCTTTTGACATGGTAGGAAGAAGCGCCGCGAGTTGGTAGACGAGTTGCGCTCGTCGGGCAAAGAGCGGCCAGCTGTGGTGCAGCAGGGGCCGCCAATGGTGATGAATGGCAGTGATGAGGCGTCACGGCGGCCGATGCCCATGGATCCGCCAGCGATTTCTGTGGTGGGCTGCATGTTTCGCTTGCTATTTCATTCAGGCCAAACCAACCGAACAAATCCTGCCCTCTGTTCCGCAAGAGAATCCGCAAGTGGTAGGGTTTGCGTTATGCAGTGGTAAAACGTCTAACTTTCCAGAGCAAGAAGGGGCCGATCGGGCGCTTCTTCGACAGATTCGTAAGCGGAGATATTCAGGCGCCTATTCCCACTTTAGCACCACACTTCTGCGCCGGCAGCCCAGCCTTCGAACATGCAGGTGCCAATCTTCAGCAAGAAATGACAAGCCGCTGCCATACTTTCCCGGAACTTAAGTTGAATAACCTTTCTCAGACAGCCCAGCCCCGTCTTCAAGCCCCAGTCGAAAATGTCGTCCCCGACGAGACCGAGGAAAATGATACCCTGGTCAGCCGGCTCAATGTTCAAATTCGCCGAATTTCAGAAAAAGTTGCTGAAGGAACGCCGTAAGATGATTTCCGAGTCGGCGGTCCAGCAATCGCAGGCAAGTTGGAAGCGCACTGGCGACCAGCAAGCGACCTTTTTTACAAGCCTGCATTTCAGAACGCCAAGCAAACTGGCGCCGAGTCGCAGACGTACGTGGGGGGAATACGTCGATTTTGCCAGGCCAGCCGACGAAGATTAGGCCATCAACTCGCAAGCCGGCTTATCGGCCCGGTTCTTCCCTATTGTGACCGCATCACCTGACATTGCCCATCCTCCTCGCAACGATGCCCTTATGCTAACTGAATAAATAATATTATACTGCTCCCAGCAACTCCACCCGGTCATGGTATAACTAACTATAAGAATCAGAAACAAAGCCAAACGACAGCCCCGTGCGCAGTTTTGCACAAGTTGCGCGCAAAGGCGAATAAATTGCTTTGCCATAAATTTCATCTAACAAACCAACACCGAGCTAATGTCACCTGCCTGTGCTCAACTAAAAGTTACAGCTAAGTACAAAGGTTTATTCGATGAAAGCTATGGCACTGATAAAATCTTCACAAATCACAGCAAAATGAAAGAATTCCCTAAGGCTTATTTGGCTTATGCGCGGGCGTAGGTGCGCACGCACTTCACGTTGTTGCACTCGCAGACAACCTTCAGCTTCCCGTCCTCGACGAAGCGCTCGAAGCGCGAGTCCTTGCCACCGTTGAGGCCAGTCTCTTGTTGGATGAGCTTGTCGCCCTCGATCGTATACTTGGATTTCACCTGAAAGGCAAAATCATAAGAAAGAATAAAGAAAACGTACATCACGGCCGTCAGCAGTCTTGTCGGCGAACTCCTCCCCGATGACGAATTTCGCAACGTGCGTCTTGAAGGTGGATGTGGAGGTGATCGTCCAGTTGTTGCCTCAAACAATAAACTTTCTAAAGCCAAAAATTCAAGCGGTACCTTCAATAACGATGTCGAGCACGGGCTTGAGATTGACGGCAACCTTGCGGGTAAGGAAAGAAACGCCGCACTCCTTCATATACTCGTCGAAGTTCTCGCCCGAGACGAAGTTCCACTTGCCAGCCAGCTTGTCCGCCATTGTAGTGATCTGCAACGAATGAGGTTAGAAATAAGAATATTTAGAAAGTCGGAAAGGGAAAGAGAACCAAGCGAAAATGGAAAAAAATTGAAAAATCGGAGAGAGCGCCGGCATCATATCGTAGCCGCTAGCCTACGGGCAGCGCCAAAATACGAGGTGTCGTTTAGGCCGCCAGAAAGCGTAAACCGCGGAAAAAAAAAATTGGGGAAACCGGGAAGCCAGCCGGCGGCGGTAATGGGCCGCGATAAGTTATGGATAGTAGAACACGTAAAATGCCCAGCACTCAGACGCAATGATTCGAAAAGGTGAAATGCTTCGTAAGTGACGAATTCCATGGCAATTCTGGCCGTAGTTTCAGCATTGTCATGAATTTCAAAATAAGAAATTTTTAGTTTTTCCGTCCGTCCTGGCCAGGTAATGGTTTAAATAACCAAAGAGTTTCGTACTTCTTCGTAAGCTATGAATGCGATTGGAATTTTGTTTCGGGATTACTAGTACGAATTTAATTAAATGCTCTTTTTTTGTTTTCCTCCTGAAATCTCTGCTCGGCCCTTTGCAGAAGAACCGCTGTTCCATCTGGGTTCGGCAGCTAGCCCGAACCATGTCGATTAGCGGCCTCTACAATTTCCATCCACTCGTCCGGTTCCTGTTGGTGGTTGCCCTGGGGGGGCGAGCGATTGCCTGCCGATTCGTGGATTCGATTTGCATACGTCCTCTCTAGGAACAGATTGTCCTCGGCAACCAGCGAATGACGGGTTGCTTGAAGGGCGAAGGGGGCTTTTGCAGGTGATGGTTGGCTTTTCCCGGTGGGTTTGGGAAAATGGATCCGATCCAAAACTTGACCGGATGAAAAAGCAAGCAAAAATGGTATTTAGAGGACGAACGAAAGTTTCCAAGAGGGGATTCCTGGAGAGAAAGTCATAAATCGGAATGAAGGGCAATGAGAAATGCCAATTTTGAACTTTTGGTTATGAATCGCCGATGACAAACCATAAACAGGCGGCCCTTTTGGACAAAAAGGCGGCTGCCTCTGAAACCTCTAATTAGAGTGCTAAAGCAGGCTTTGTAAAACCTTAAAAATTAGATTTTTAAGTTTAGGATAAGCCCACGTTTGCGCATTGCTTCGTTGAAAGCCAAGGCTAAGTCACAAAGTCAAGACTAGCCGTGCCGATGAGAAAGCGCCGGAAAAACGCCGGCTGCTTTGGGCTAGTCCCATAGAACTTTCAACCGCTGAAAACTCACACAACTTTCCCACCGTTTGCCCTTTTTCCGAGACTATTTGGTCAGAGGGGACAAGCCAGGGGATTCCCATCTCGCGAGCGCCATCGTCGTCGTTGCCTGCCTCACTCTTTGTCCGGCAGCGTTTTTTCGGCAAGACGGCTTGCCCCCGGATTTGCATATTGGCAAGGGCACATTCGTTGATGGGTCACACTCGGATGGCGCGCGCGGGGCGGAGCTGCTGCTCCCTTCTGCCCGGCTATAAAGAGCCCGAATCTGGAAGAGCCCTTCACCAGTTTCGCACTGATCCCCAGCAACACGTCTAGTCACACAGCACATACCTTGTTACCTCACGTTACCTCGAGAAATTTCTAGGATGGGCACGGGAAGTGTTCGTTTTGTCGTGGGAGCGTCGACGGCGATGTCCGTCATCGCGTTGCTGATGGCATTGGCCGTGATGCCGTCGCTGTATTCTGAGATCTCGATGTTGCGCGACGAGGTCTTCGACGCTGTTCATAGTTTTAAGGTATCATTTTTTCGCTCTTTGTTATTTCCGGGTAGGGAGAACGGATTTTTCGTTTTCGTCTATATCTGCAAAGTTACCTATCTAGAAAACTTATACAACATATCAAAAAATTTTAACTTTTGTCGAAACTCAAAAACTTTTGGCGCAACACCGTAATTTTGTTACTGTTTCTCAATTAAAATTTGCAGGTTTGTACCTTTAGAGCTGTCCATTTTCAAATATAAGGTGTTTTTACATTGGCTTTAGTAAGTTTTATCTATTTTTAAAGTACAAAAACTTTTCAGCAAAGTTAGAAAAAGTGTTTGAGAAAGTCGAAAACTAGGTAATTTTTGGTCGAAAAAAACAAATTTTTTCTACATAAAATTTTTAATTAAATTTTGCAGGTATTTATGCCGGTAGGTATATTTAAAAACGATGTGGAAACGCATCAACTCTTTTTTATAAAGCTCGAGAGCTACCGTTTTTCTTATAGGATTCGACCGATAGTTCGTGGGTGGACCTGATGGACATCCAGTTGGGAGTGACCCCTCCATCGAGGCCAAAGGAGAACCCACTCATCAGACGCGAGAAGCGCTTTGCCGAGCTTCCCGACTGGTGCCAGTGCAATGCCATGCCGCAGTGTCCGCCCGGCCCACCAGGGCCGCCTGGGTGCTTCCCGGAGAGCCTGGAGGTGGAGCGTAGAGACTTAAGATCTTTATACCAATCATTTTCTAGGCCCTGGCGTGCCCGGACCTCCCGGTGTCGACGGCGTCATCGGCCCATCTCGATCATGCCTACAACAGGCCGAATGTGTTCAGTGCCCGATTGGACCCCCCGGCCCGCCGGGAGTCGATGGGCCAGCGGGACCCGCTGGGCCCCAAGGAATTCCCGGAGCGCCTGCATCGCCTGGTGGAGAGGGTCCCGTTGGCCCGCCTGGCCCGGCTGGAGACGCCGGTCTGCCAGGTATGGCAGTTGGGGATGACCGATAGATACATCGTCTTTAGGAGCCCCCGGAATCCCCGGCGAACCTGGTCACCCTGGCACTGCCGGCATCAGCCGCAAGGGTCGTCCCGGACCGAAGGGAGTCCCCGGTGCGCCGGGTGCTGCCGGAAACCCCGGTCTGGATGGTGCTCCAGGTCTTCCTGGACAAGATGGTGCCTCCGGGCCACCAGGACCGGCAGGACAGCCTGGAAACCCTGGCAGCGACGGTGCGTTGCTTCGAAAAATTGCTGAATACTGAAATTACAGCATCTTCATAATATTGTTCCCTCGCTAACCCAATTTTTTAGGCGTCCCCGGCGTGGATGGCGGTTTGGGAATCCCCGGCCGAGATGCCGAATATTGCCCGTGCCCGCCACGATCGATGGTGTTCGTCAGCCACCGCCGTCGCGTCGCCTGAACGGCTCCCCCAACTGTCGAATAATAAATTCCGGTTGCAAAAATCGAAGGCTTGCTGCATTTAAATTCAGCGTCACGCATTCACACAGAAAATTCCAGTATTCTCTGGAATACCGTTATTTTGTTCAGAGATGCACATATACCGTTTCTCCGCCAAAAATACACCCGGTACTAGACTGTTATCAGGGGGAACTAATTTTTCCCCGTAATCCTGTATGGTCCTATAAGAAAATATAAAGATTTCTTGGCATTTTACATAGTTTTAGGTTATGAAAAGCTCATAAAAACAATCAAAATTTTTGACGTTTTGGTGAAACGTGTATGAAAAACGACTAGAAAGCTCATAATTTTCGAATTTTTGAAAAAATTTGAAATGTTTTTTGTAACTTTCTAGCAATCAAAAAATACGGAAAAATGGCTAAAAATACGCTTTTTATTATTAACAGGTAGGTAACGATCAAAAAAAAATTGGCTCCCCCTGCCCAAACTTTCCTCCCCTGCTAACGGTCCAGTACCATATGCCCGAGCCTATTTTTATCTAATTTTTTTGAGACCTATCAGCAGGTCCTTTTTACTAAAAGTGAGCTGAAGCCGAGCAGCGCGTAGAACCCGGCCTGTTTACGAA